CTATACATCCGTTCATTTGAGACATCACTGTACTTAATTTACATGGTTGCTACTGTGACAAAACATGCTAGAAACAAATATTATTACATCTACTCTACTGTATAATACCAATTTTATTTACTATCATATTTTTAAGTTGACCATAATCTAATCAATTGATATTAATCATTTAATAATTATAAATATATTTTGTTAAATAGTGATTTATATACCATTGGAAAGCTTATGAATTTAGATGAATTTAGGTTCAAATTTAACTCAAATCGGAGTTAAAATGAGTGGGTTATGCTAGTTTAAAGATTCAATTTCGAATTAATCCGAGAAATTGTGAAAAGCTACTGTTCATAATTCATTTATTTTTAATCCAAAATATATTCTTATCCCTAACAGCTGCTGACATGTGGGGTCGAAGCTTTGATTTTCTTTTTCACAGGATTAAATTTAATAGCAGGAGTGGGGACGGCTTGTCAGTGGCTCGGCTGAAGGTCGTCTTCAACCTTCGTCTTCTTCCTCCCGACCGAGCGGGAGCAGCAGGGGAACACGGCGTGCACGGAAGGCCGGCCGAGGGTGACCCGGTGGCGACCAGGGGAGGCGCAGAGAAGCTCCGGCGACCACCTACCGGCTGCGGCGGCGCTTGGAGGGACGGGGCGCATGGCCGCCATGGCTGCGCCATAACCGAGCTCGGCTGCAAGTGGCTAGGACGACAGGAAGGGTTTCTGACCAAATTGAAGAGTGCGTGAGCATCTACGGCGTACGGGGGTTCCATTTTGCTAGCTAGATGGAGAGGAGCTCCGGGATGGCTTGTCCATTGTGACCTCCATGTGCGGAGCTTCGGAGCTCGGTCTTGGCATGGTTACGGCCCTAATTGATGAAATTGATGGGGGAAACTAGATAATAGGGGACTATAAGAAGTCACAGGAGTGAGGAATTACCGAGAGACGGCGGGACGACGAAGATCGGCTACAGTGGTGGAGCGGAGAAGAAGGTGCAGCACGCGCCCAAGGTGTTCGACGAAATGCATTCCAGGAAGAAGGCAGAGACGGATGAGGTTTTTATGAGAGCTTAGCTTAGGGTGTAAGGAAACTGTGGAGGATAAGGATGCCAACACACAATAGCTGAGCTAGAGTTCTAATGGCAATCCGATAAGGGCAATGAGGTGGACGACGCGGCTAAGGTTCGATCCTCCCAGGATTTGGGTTCAATGCTTCGATCGGGCATGATTGCCTATGTGATAAGGTTCCAGAAGAGGGAGTGCTAGCTGGGGAAGAAACACCACATTACCCTATCCAACGGTCTCAGCTAGGGGCGACGAGATGGCGATGTGATGGAGATGCAATGGCGACATGATTGGCAGCGACGGGCAGTGGTAATGGCCGCCGATAGGGAGGTGCGGGCCTATTTTCTAGGGTGACGCTGGGCAACGTGGCGGCCGTTATCCCTCAACTTCGATGGAGACTCGCGATGGGACGAGGTGACGCCGGCGCGCGTGGCGGCGCAGCTTTTGCGTGGGGATTCGGCGGCTCGGTCGGGCAGCGGGACCCACACGAGCGCGGTATACGGGAGGGAGTGGCTACCGTGCGACGCGGCCACGACGCGAGGAAAAGGAGGCGCATAGGCGTTCGGCTTGGGCTTGGTTCGGATCGAACAGGTTGCGGCTCTTGAACAGTATCGACTGAAAAAGAAAAGGAATCGGGGAGAGGAAAAAGAGAAAGGGAAGGGCTAAACTGCAAAAGTGAATGGGATTGGATTTGAATTGAAATGTAATCTATACATTTTTGTTTTGAGAATTCAAATGTTTGATTTGAATATTTATTTGGTTATTCATTAGTTCCCAAATGAATTTGCTTTCCATTAGATTATCCAAAAATTTTCCAATATAACTTCTAGGCTTTGATATTTCTAAAATTAATTAAAATATTCTAATGTGACCATTATAATGGTAGTGATGTATTTACTCTATTTATTTATATGAGTGAAATCTATACCATATGGGCTTGATAAAGTGTTTTAAATATTAATTTAAATATTCCAGCGAAATACTCTTTTATATATGGGATCATTGTAATGAAGTGGTCATTATTTCACGTGAGATTGAATTCAGATGAATTCCATTTAATCTTACTGTTTCCATTTGTTAAATATGAAACCAAGCTATCAACATGGTTTGAATATTTAATATTTGGTTTGTAATTCATACCATACAAATTAATAATTAACTTTTCCTTCATTTAGCTTCCTGTCTTGTGCATAATATTTATGGGAATGATATGGATAATGTATTCTTGTAAATTGTACATATTTAATTTAATTCTCCATTGTGACGATTCACGGTTTATCAAGCAATAGCAATCATAACATCCAGCATGATGCAAAAGTTTTAAAAAGTTCAAAATTTTAGTGATTTTTATTATCAGGAATTTTCAGGATGTTACAGACACGCCCGGTGGGACCGATTAGAAGTCAGAATCGCAATACATTCTCTCATGGCTGAGAAACTTGCCACCATCACCGTCTTCGGTTGGCAAAGTGGTCCCTCCCAAGACTAATAATCTAAAGCTTGGTGGGTTTGAAGTTAATGAGGGAAACATTGTTCCCATCACCGTAGACAAGCTAACACCTGAGCAAAAGAAGGAGCTTGATCTGATGATGCAGCAAACACAACACTAGTTCTTGAACTCATTCATGAAGACCCGCAAGGGAACAGTTTTTCAAAAATATAAGGTAAAATTAGTTGCTGATGTTCCTGGAACAGGTTCCTCCAAGGATGGAGAAGTACAACAAGTTCCAGCTGGTACAACTGAATTAGGTGGTAAAGGTGCTGCAGAGGGCTCAGGAGATAAAGGTGATGGTTCCCAGGGGGTGCAAGGTGAGGATCTTGGTCCATATGGTAATACATCACAATTACAGTTTAATAATTTCCAAGATCGGATTGACTACGCCATGCAACATGCTTTGATCAATCAATACCACCTTCGCGAAACTCCGGCCATCCCCTCGAACGCTCGCCGTCCACTCTCGCCGCCGTCCACCAACGCCTACCCTTGGCCACTCCTCCACTTCTCTCACCTCCCCTTGCGTCTCCCCCGTCTCCAATCTCCTCCACCCGCCCTGGAACCCTAGCTCCTCGAGACTAGCTCCCCACAGGTGGTGTAGAAACGGAGTCAGGAGAGTCGACTCAAAGGTGTTCGACTGATCTCCAAAATCGCCATTGTTGGATCTCGACACGTGTTGCCCTTCCACCTCTCTCTCCCCCACTATTGGATCGGGCTGAAAACCATGGGCTTCCTCCCTCCCCTGATCAAAAACTCTCTCGCGCATTGAGGAGCACTCTCCCAACTCCCGAAGGCCATCCCCTCCGCCGCGAATCACCGCCGGTGATCGTCGGAGCGCCGCGGGTGACTCCCTCGTCGCCTCTCCTATGGAAACCCTAGCCATCGGGTGGATTGATATATATGTATCACACATCACGTCGATCGATCGAGAGTGATGTGCATATTGAAAATTGGTTGGTCCCTACCAAATGGCTATATGCAGAAGATTCCATAAGGTTGTTACGAAGTTGTTCAAAGTAACCTTGCATGGGTGGAGATTGGGTAATAGGGTACATTCCCATAGTTGCTACTTGCTACAGCACGCTGTACCATTTCATCAAGACAAATGACCAACAAAATTGTAGAAGGCAAACACTTTACTGTTCTTCTTGAAAAAAAAATATGTTTCACAATATAAAATTGAAAAAAAACAGTGTAAGGTCCAACTAACACCATCAACTACTACCCGAGCCTGCAAATCAACTCTCAAACTATGAAAATGGACATACCTTTGAACTTTTCATTTTTTGAGAACTCTTATGAACTATCAAAACTGGTTAAAATGCCTCTTAAGGGCAATCTAATTTTAACGGTGTATTTGTAAATTTTTTACATCAATATCATGGGCATTTTACTAGCATGGCTCCTAGTTAGCTCCATGGAGATGTCAAAATAATTGAAAACACCATTACGAACGGTTGTAAGTCGAGCTTGTTTTATGGTGGAGAGTTCATTTTTTTTCACTCAGGCAATAGTTGAGGGAGGTAAAATGATCATGACTCGTCCCATTACTAGTACACCACACAACATTGTTTGGACCACCAACCCAAAAGTTAGAATGTATCCAGAACTGGATTTTTGTTGAAAATGATTCAGAAGATAAAAAAAATCAGTAAATTTTGAATATGTCTGATTGAACCTGCATCTATGTGAAGCCAGCAGTATAGAAAATATAGCACATTAGGCCGAAGCTAAAGAGGATATCAAGTTTATGGACAAGCCATTTATAATGTATTAATGATGCGAAGGTGTTGGCATAGTTTACTCCTATTAAGAGAATAAGGTGAAAGGTTGAAGAATATAAATTCCCTGCCTGGTGGAGATGGTGGAACTGATGAAATGAGATGAAAACAAATGTGTTCTTTTGAAGAACAGAGGAACTATAAATATGAAAACACCGGACTAGCAGCAAATGAAATTCCTTTTAAAAGAAAAAAAGATAATGGAAGTAACCCCCAATCTTTGTACAATCTACGCTCACTAGCAGTACAATCTTTACATTTGTATGGCACATTAGGGGACAGAGCCAACGCAAGGAAAATATATTACCATGTGAATTAAAGCATATGATGCTATGATGCATGAATGGTACCAGGATCCAAATAAAAATACACAAGATATGCAGAAGTGTAAATATAGCAAGATTTGAGCACAGCACCGCACATATCTATTAGCATGGTCCAGACTCCAGAGGGGTCAAACAAATTATAATCCTAAATGATAATTGCAGAATTGTCCATGTTTGAGAAGCATTGAAATGTTCTTTCTGTCATTCAGAGCAAAGAAAAACTTACATAGTATTCAAATACATGTCTTATATTCGAAGAGTAGATACAATCTGTAGATGGATGCGCAAGTTATGGTAAGTCTACAAGACTAAAATATAAAATTCCCGAGAAGAACTCTGCATTATAAATTTGTGTTAACTGGTCGGTCTATATTTACTGTGACCCCTTCCAACATAATGCAGTGATGTTGTAGCTCCTCACTGCAGCGACGATCAACATTTATTTTCTGCAGAGAATTTGGAAAGGCATTCTTGGGCAGAGACCTGATGGCTGAGCACCTCAGAATTTCCAATATCCTTAGATTGTTCAGTCCACGAAGGTCTGCAGGGAGAGACTGCAGCTTCTCATTGTGAAAAAAGCAGAGGTCCTGGAGGGAGGTGATGAGTTCAAGTGCTTTCTCTTGCTCTTTTGTGAAGCTCACAATCTCTTTGTTTGAACATAGGCCTAAAACATTAAGCGAAGAAGAAAAGAGTCTGCAGATAGGTGTCACAAGGACCCCTGCAATATCATCTGTCCGGAGCATTTCAATTTTGCAGTATGCAGGAAGCTCTTCTTGTTGATGAGGCACCAAATTGTCGAAGAAATTTGGACTGCGATAAACGCACAGACGGGTGAGGCAGCCTTGAGTGAAGAAAGTCCATAAACCTTCTCCTCTTAAATCCTTCCTACAATTCTCTACGAATAAATAGGTGAGACTAGTCAGGTTTGAGAGGGGCGCGAACGTATGCATATCCTCAACATCCTCAATTCTGAGGCTGTCCAGTGTAGATGGAAACGGAAAACAATAAGAGGAGGATGAGGAGTAGGCTGAGAGAAGTTTGGGGCACCCTCTTATGAAAAGTGTTTGCAGGGAGTGCAGATTGTGAAGACCTCCTGGCCTGGAGTTATTTTCAGGAGGAAGGGAAGCCAACAGGCTCAATCCTGGGTTCATGGTAATCCGTAATTCACGCAGGGAAATGGTGAGATGTTTTGGGAATAACAGCAGCCCTCCTTCATCACCCACTTCTTCTATTTGTAGTTGTGATCCTGTTTCATTACTTGAAGTCGAAGACGATGGCATTGATGTTGGTTCAGCTGTGGCCAGCAGCGCCATTACACCCATGCTAGTTACGTTCTGACAAGAAGACATCCTGAAGAAGGAGAGCTTAGGCAGTTGCAATAGAAATTGGGTCAATTCCTTCCCATTGGCACTACAGTTCTTAATCTCAAGGCGTTCCAAAGCAAGTGTGTCTTTCTCATCATCTGGCCCTCCCAGTAGCGGCAATGTAATACTTGATTCACTTATCTTGAGTGTTTTCAGTGACGTTAACCAGTGAAGGTGTTTATTCATCAAAGGTGGGCTTTTTGAGACCTCCAACTCATGTATTTTACTTAAATTGTGAAAGGCAACCATCTCATCAAGGCATTCCAGATGATGATCTTCTTTGATTTCCAACAATAGTTTGGATGATGAACTTTTAGTGGAGTAAACTAACTTTTCCAAACTTGAACCCACATTCTTCATGTCAACAGTGAGCAAAGTATCAGTCCATGGAATAAGTGGTAGGGATTCCAATTTTGGGCAGTCAGCAATTCTGACCTCTTGCATCTTAGGAAACAGATCAATCATCACATCTTGCTTAAATTTCTGACTAGCATATTGAGAAACTGGTAACTCTACCAGTTCTGGGCAATCTCTAATTATGAAAGTTTCTAAAAGGGAAAACAGGAGAAATTTGTCATTGTGAACCCATTTTTCCAATTTTGTGAGTCCAACAAGTTCTAGAGTTTTCAAGTTTTGAAAGCTTTTTCCTTGGACAGAACGAAGATATTCCTGACCAGGTTCTTTAGGGAGCCAAAATTCCCCGAGTGGTGGGAAGACAGTCCAGTTGACGGTGTCAAGATGAAGGGATTGTAGGTTTTTTACTGAAAGTTTGCTACCAAGCCATGGTGGGCAACTATGGCCTCCATGTCCTCTGATGCATAGCTCTTGGAGATTGTCATGAGGTCGAAGAACGTTAAGAATATGTTGTTCTTTGTCAGGTTCCTTCTGGGATCGCTGAACATCCCACTCTAATGTTAGCTTCTTTAAGCTATTTTTTGACAACAGATTCACTTCATCTGCTTCTTTCGCTTGCATTTTCTCCAGATTACAGATACTAAGTGATCCACTGAGCTGTATCAAATGTCCCAGCTGTTTTATTTCAAAACCACTTTTCTCTCTGTTGACTTCAAATCTTCTTAACTCTTGGAGTGTTTGCAGCTTTCCTACCTCACAAATCTTTGAGTGAGTTTCATCGTGTGAGACAATAAAATGCCGCAATCTTGCAAGGTTGCTCATATCTACAGGCAAATTGATACTTCCTTTCCAATCTTTCAGAACAAGGACAATCAACTTATAGAATCTAGATATACATCTCGGTGGGGATATCTTATCATACTCTGACCCAAGCTTTAGGTAGCGGAGATGCATAAGCACGGAAAAGTTATGCAGTATATGATCGACAGGATAGTACATAGTAGACAAACGAAGAACACGGAGAGCCTTTGCTTTTCTGAACACATCTCCAAAGGTATTCGCCATGCTTCGGTAATAACATCCAAATATCATCAAAGTGTGTAGATTTTCAACTTTAAATCTCTTCATTATAAGAATCACATTTCCATGAAAAGTTTCATTTATTGACGCATCTTCCTCTGCACCACCCATAACGATAGACAAGTGACGGACATCAGGAGGGATTTCTCTGAATCTTTCATGAGAGCAATCTATTGTATAACATTCATACAATGACACCATTCGTGCTAAGTCTTGTAGTAGCTCATGCATCACATAGTTAGGGTGTCCTCCTTTTCATTTTTCTTCATAAACCCATGATCAACCAAGTCATCAAGATAGCTTAATCCTATTTCTTCAAATGTTTTCTGTCCATTACAGCATAAAATGTTTAATCCCATCCACAGGTGAATCAGCTCTCCACTATCGAACTCGTAATCATGAGGAAATAAGCCACAATAGGAAAAACATTTCTGCAGATGAAAAGGAAGATAAACATAGCTCAGTTTCAGTGCAGGCATAATATCGTTATGACCTGTTTGTAATTCCCATTCTTTACTTGCTAGAACTCTTCTCCAATGATCTAAAGTAAGGTTATTTCTTAGTAACCTTCCAACAGTTTTTGCTGCAAGTGGGAAACCCTTCAGTTTGCCAATTATTTTTTTTCCCAATGTCAAGTAGTTCACTATGATCTTGCCAGGGTGCTTGTCACACCCTAAAAATCCTAAATATATAAATTGTTGTTTAATTAGAATTATTAGAATTTATTTTAAAAGCCTAGGAGAGAAGATCTAATTTTAATTAATAAATTCCAATATAAAAATGGGGCCAGATAAAATTTCATTAAATACTTTGCTTAACTCTATAATTCCTAGATTTTTCTGAGATTTATTTGAGCTAAGGAAGTATTTTTAATAAATGGAATTGCATTTAATGAATAATTTAAATTGAAAAAGGTTTTTAAAATCCTCTTTTGGCTTTGGGCCGAAAGTCGGCCCAAAACCTTCTCTCTCCCTCTCCCCGGCCCAAGCCGGCCTAGTCCGCCCACAGCCGCCCGCCCGCGCGCGCGCTCGGCCGCTGACAGGTGGGTCCCACCTGTCGGACTCGTCGTCCTCCTCGCGCCGTCGCGCCACCGCCCGAGCCCTAGCGCCGCGCCGCCACCGTCTCCTTCCAAATTCGCTCGCGCCTTTCCTTCTCCAGTGAAATCAATTGAGGGGAAATGATCTTCGGGATCTCCTCTACATTTTCTCTTTTGGAATCGTCGGCTAAAATCGTTTGGAAATCCGTGGATTCGAGTTCGATTCGGATCGATCTCTCTCCTCCGAACCCTAGACTTTCCTTCGCGTCGCCGGTCGCCGTGGGCCTTCGCCGCTGCCTCCTTGCCCCTATAAAAGGACCCCCAAGCCCACCGCTACCCGCCGCCACCCTCGCTTTCGCCTTTCGTCGCCGGTAGAGCCCTAGCACCGTGTAGCCTAGCGCCGCCGTCGTCGCCGTTCATCCAGCCATGCGCCGCCGCCGCACCCGTCGTCGTCGTCGCTCGGGAAGGCTGCCGTCGTGATCGCCAAGCCGTCGCCGACCTCGTCTGCCTCTCCACCGTCGCCGTAGGTCGCCGGAGCATCGCCGTCGTCGTCAAGCCGAAGGTCGCCGCCGCTTCTTCCTCGACGCCATCGCAGTCCGTTGATCTTCCGCCGTTGTTTTAGTCACCGGTGAGTTCGCCGCGTCGCCCTCTACGTGTTGGTGTCCTCCGTTCGTGTCATCGCGCCGTCGTTCGCCGGCGAGTTTGCGTGCCCGAGCCGCCGCCGGTGGTGACGTCACCGCCAACGTCATCGTCGTCGTTACCCGTGGCCCGGTCGTGGACCGATGGATCTTGGCCGTCCGTTTTGGATAGGATAGATCTCGGCCGTTCGTTTCCGTGAGCCGCCGCCGTGCACCCGGTCCACCGCGAACCCTAGCCGCTGACGCAATAATTCCCTTTTCCTTTTCAAAAATAATTCATTATTGCGTCATAATTCAATTAAAATCTAAATAAATGATTTAATCTGATTTAATCTTTGAAAATTCATAACTAATTCATCTTAGCTCGGATTTAGTTGGTTCAAGTCTCTAAATTTTTCTAAAATAGAGATCTACATGTTAAAAATATCCACATGTACTGTTCATGCTGGTTTGTGTGCTGTTTGGTGATTTTGCTCTTTTCTGTTTAGGTTCCGACGTTTTCGGAGAGTCTGAGTTTGCAGAAGAAGATTTTGAAGAGTTCCAAGGCCAGCAAGGCAAGTCACACAGATCCCAAACAACCCTTTGAGCATGTTGATCCCGTTTAAAGCTATTGTTTCTATTCAACTATTGCATTTATTTTCGAATGCCATTGGGTGGAATTAACCTATTGTTTGTTATAGCCCTTTTGTTCTTGATTACTTTATTCCTTGATACCTTGGGTTATTATAACTTGACTAGTTGAGCTTTATATATTGGTTCAGCTAGATATTAGATATGATTGCTTAGCCATGCTTAGAAACATTAGCACACTATTGGGATAACTTATGACTCACTATTATTTAAGGATGGCTTAATGATAGTTCACGATGGTCAATCGTGATTGGTTAATTAATTACTTGCCAACTAAAACTTGATAATGGTGGGTTGTGAGCACATGGTTTTGAGAGTCGTGCTCATGACAATTAAGGATCGGTTCACGAGTTTCGGTTGTGAAACATTAACCGTGCCAACCACAAGCCAGCGTGGGCAACGGCTTTACCTTTTGTATAGCATGGTTCATTGCGGAGCACCAGACTGAGAAGTGGCGGAGATAAGCCCACGGGGGTCGCTGGGGAATCCATGCCTTGTTTATAAGGGGGTGATTATGATCCAGGAACGGTGCGCTGTGGTGGATTGTGTTGTGCGAGGGGTACTGTCACAGCTCCTTTCCGAGGTACCGTGGTGGTATTGAGGCACATGGTGACATGTTGTGGGGCTGTGTCTTGTGGGTACAGTGGTACACCTCTGGCCAGAGTAAAACTATTCGAATAGCCGTGCCCGCGGTTATGGCGGGTCTAACAATGTCTTTCGTGATTAGTTTCACACTTCTCACCATAATAAAAGATGCTATAACTGGTAATAATTTGTTTAGCTCCTGGTTTGGAATGGTATATTCCTGGTTTGGAGATAGATCTGTGCAGCCGGGTATGGTTGTTCAGGATGGTTGGGCCTGAGCAGCATGGGTGTGCTGTTTAGTGTTGATTAAAATTGATGATTAATTACTCTACTGTTTTATAATTCTCAAATGTTTGCTAAATGCTGCTTTTGCAAATGAGCCCTATATTATGCCATTCTTTGGTATCCTTGTGCACTTGCATATTTGCTGCGTGGCTTGCTGAGTATATCATATACTCACCTTGCAATCATTCATCAGAGGAAGAGTTCTACAGTGATGCTGATGGTGTGGAGGATTAGGTGTAGCCCTGGTCAAGCTGCCTATAGAGTGGAGTCGTCTGCGCCGTTTATCTTATTTTTTCCGCTGCTTAGATCTTTATTGATTGAGAGGAACTATCTACCTCTGTAATGACATTTTATTCGCTTATTAATTAGAGTAATAATTGTACTCTATTATCAATTTGTTATTGTGAGCCTCGGCTAATTTCTGGACGAGGGTTCACACACATGTAAGCGTTTGGAATTTTGGATAGAAATTCCGGGCGTGACAAGTTGGTATCAGAGCCCCTTGACCCTAGGTTATACCAAATGGTTACCCATAGAAGCCCTCTAAAAATATTATAAAAGTAGAACTGTTCTCCTCCCTTTCTCTTTTAATTAAACCAAACTAATGGCACATGCACTTCATAATCTCTTTTAGTGGTTCTCGTTCAAAATTTATTCCAGTGTTATTAGTACTGTACATCTATTACTGTACTAATGGCTCATTTACCAGCAAATGTTTTATAACATTGTTTTATTTAATCTTGCTGCAATGAAATAAATTTAGCATGTTGATTTTATAACTTTCTTTTATTTTATTTCTTTTGAAACCTGTTGTTCAAAAGTGCAAAATTTGTGATCTTGTTTCCAACTGTTTCAACTTATCTTGCAAGCTTGGTTTACTTTATTTACTTACCTTTTACTTTGATTTTCTAACTTTATTCAAATTAATCCAAAAACTTGTGCTATTAATTGGATAAATGTCTTAACTCCCTCCTTTCACTTGTCTTTAGATGCCGCGCTACAAGCTTGAGTACTTGTTTGGTGTTGAGGGATTTGTCCAGGAGTTGCGTACGATGTCCTTTGCCATAGGATTTGGGACTGCCCCTTTGTATGCCCAGATTTCTCATGATCGTCACGAAGAGAAGTGCCGAGTCAAAGTCACCTTGAACAGTAATAGTGAAGATATCCCATCAGTGATGTTCGAAGCTGGAGGAGAAAACTACATCCATGCATGTCAGGAGGTGGCAAGGATCGCCATAGGAGAGCTCCGCGATCGCTACAGTGATCAGTTGGCCGACACTGAGTATCGCTACCATCCTTGCCAACCCCAGGGAAGTGACCGTGGCAGCTACCTTGAGACTGAGGGGATTGAGAATGATGCTACCACAAGGCATTTGGTTGAGATGCTGTGGGCTATGGATGAAACCCGCGCGGAGGTTGTGCTAGCAGCTCAAGATCGTGAAGACCGGAATCGTGGTAAGATTTGCGGGCTAGAGGACAAGGTGGATCGTTTGGAGAAGGAACTAGACGCTTTGAAGGGAGAAGCACCACCGCAGAAGGCCAGGATTCGTCTTACCGCAAGGAAGAGAGCTCTATTTGTCCCTCGCTACCAATTGGCGCCAAAGGTCCGTGTGGTGGAGAAAGAAGTTACCCCAGCCCTAGCGAATCCTCCGATCGTCAACGTAAGTGATGATGAAGGAGAAGAATCGAAGCGCACCCACTCAAAGGTCGAGTGGGGAGCTACTCAAGATGATGGAGACGAACCGAACGAGCCTTCAATCAACTCCGATGCCCGGAAGACCTAGAGTGCCTTGTCAAGCCGTTGTCTTAGA